ACCGGTCCATGGTTTTATCTTTTTGTTGTTATCCTCGTAAAATTTGATGTTAATGGATAATTTCTTATTGTGTTTAATAATAAAAAGTAATAAAACCCATAAATTTACTCACAGTCTTCTAGAATAGGGTCAAAGAAGAGCTTGTATAGACATTCGTCTAATGTTGACGCCAGTTTATATTGTTTTTCTCTCCCTTTTTTGTGTGTCTTTTATCTTTTCTTTTTTGTTGAGGGTGGGTATGTTGTCGTTCAGAATCCGTTTAATTAACGAACATCTTACGACTCCTTTTATTCATATCATATATGAATACTTATGCATCTATTTTGAAATTAATAAAAGTGTGTTGCAAATTGTCAACTATAATATATCTTCGTAATTGTTTTAGTTTGATTACAACGGAAATCTAGCAATTTTATAAAATAGATGAGGTGAATTAGTTATTTCTTGAAATAAGAACATTATTTTTAAAATATAAGGACATCTTGATTATATTTAGTTTGTCATCACAATCTGACTTTAAAAAATGTACAGATTGTTTTTCAACATTTTATTTGTTTATTTTTTTTTAAATACTTTAAACGAAATTTCAAAACACTATTCCAAGCTTCTTAACAATACGGTTGTATTGTGAAAATGAAGATGTCAAACATTGCTTTTGGTCAGTTTGTTTATTGAAATTGAATTCAGTCCAGGAATAAGCTTTCCCTATTCATACATAATTTCCTAGTAAGTGATCTCGATTGATTGATTGACTGTAGCTTGCTTAACGTCAAGTTGCAAATATTTCATGTATCTTTAGAAAGAGAACACATTAACATAATCGAATACAGTAGTATAGGTCGATGGGATTAAGGTCGAGAAAATTGAACTGTCTATGGAAACTGAGGGTATATGTTGCATAGGGACAGTAATTTTAGGCCTAAGGTACATTTAATGTGCAGAGAGCTTTGCACTCTACTGCATGAGGCTTCGGAATGAACGTCCCCATTCCGACCGGACGTTGCTGCATATTTATACATCCCGGACCGTCGGACGGCAAAACGAACGGCCCACTTTAGCCATGGTTTTACTGCAGGATAAGAGAAGTCCAGGAACTATCATATTTCTATACTCAGTCAACCCTTTGGTTATATATATTGAGGTTTTCCGTTGTAGCCTAAAGTTTTACATCGTTTCTGTATTTAAAAGAGAGGTGAAAGATACTTAAGGGATATTAAAACTCATAAGTCGAAAAAAAAAATCTGACAATGCCATGGCAAAATTAACCGCCGGTTAGATTGTAAACAATTTATGACAGTATTTGTTTTGATTTCGTTGCCAGATATAATTTATAATATAGAATCATCTGTTGATATTACCATTCAGCTATATGTAACGTGATCAACAGCTAGCAAATAAAATATGCTTAAATCGTTGGTAGGGGCCGGCTTGAACTTGCAATGATGTGAGATATATTGGTCTATGCCAAAGGCCTCACTATGACTTTGAGATGGAGAACAGCAATCAAAACACGTTTCTTGATTTTGCTTTATTGATTACTTCATGTAAGTGAAGTCAGTTTTTGATATTTATTCGTTCATTAAAGTCACAGAAATTCAAACATTTTAGAATTAACAAAATACAAACTACAAAATAAAGATTAGGAAACGCGAACCCCATAAAACAATACAAAAATCTGTTTAATGCATTTTAGTATTTTATTGTCTGACGAAAAAACAATAAACTGTTAGTTCTAAAAGTCGTACTAGCACGCCTAATTTTCACTTCTCTCACCAAGCCACATTGAAAGTAAATGTTATACTTAAGTCATTTAATTTGTATGGGAAATCATACATTATAAACACATTTATTCTAAAACCAGTTGTTGGCATGATACGGGTTATACTCTTCTCGTAAACCCCTAACGGGAGGGATTGTGGTTGATTTTCATATGATGAAGAAATAATTTTTCAATCAGTTTAATTGAAGTCTGGAGAGGCATATCAGTAGCTGCTAATAGTCCTTTTTTAATTTATGTTTATCGTTGTCATTTTGCTTAGTTTCTTCTGTTACCTATTCTAACATTGGACTCGGACTTTTTTTAACTGAATTTTACTGTGCGTTTTGCTGTGTGTTTGTTTATTCCATATTTGCTAGAAGTACATGTATATGGGGGAGGGTTGAGATCTCACAAAACATGTATAACCTTGCTGCATTTTTGCGCCTGCCTCAAGTCAATAACCTTAAGCTTTTGTTTGTCTTGTGTGGTTTTTTTTTTTTTAATTTTGGTTGATTTGTATGTTCCGGAGTTTAGTGTGGTGTTTATTTCGTTGAACTAATGTACATTATTGTTAAGGGGCCAGCTGGAGACCGGGATTTTCTCGTTGCGTTGGTGGCATTGTGCTGTTTTCTGCTCTTTGGTCTTTTGTCTCTTTGACACATTCTCCGTTTCCATTCGCTATTCTATGTATGATATACAACACATATTACATAATTCTAATACAAAGAAACTGGAAATACTATCTCTAGCATTTTGGCAAATATTATAGTAATACAGATTCTGTTACAGTTCCGACGGGGTCAATCACTGTAATAACTAGTTCATGTTTGTCTAGCTTTCATAAAAGTCACTTATTAAATAAAATGGTAGGTTTGAAGAGATTGATTGTGTCGAGATAAAACACAAAAAGGTAAATTGAAACAAATTACGACCAATTAACTAGTGTGCATTCACCTTCGTAACAAAATATTGTCATATAAAAAATGCAATATTATTTTGTTTATACAGTAACATCTGTCTGGTTTTTTAATTGATCCTCTCGAGTTCTTTCCATTCTGCATCGTATAATAATTGAAGCAGCTGACTTGTATAATATACGTCTATGATTGCCATAATATGCATATAATGAAATTGATTGTAACAAAACGAAAATGATATTTATACATAATGAGTTAGTAGATGATATTCAAATTCCTTTGTTTATTTAAAACGAAAAAGGTAATAAGTTCTTATGATGCAATTTGATAATAATTATGAGTGTTGGTGATCTTAACAACAACCTAAAAATTTTTAGGTTTTTTTTTTAAATGAATTTTAAATGTATTGGAGGCGACGGCCTAAGCTAGTTAGATCCAACCATTTTATTACAATAGTTCTTTCTGTCATATAACTCTTGCAATTCTTTAGTTGTTTAATAGACCGCCAACACATGTCAATACAACAAGACTGTGCAGACCAGCTGTTGTGATAGAATGCTGTCTGTCGTATTTATTTTTCTCTAAATGTTATTATATAAAAAGGAAGATGTGGTATGATTGCCAATGAGACAACTCTCCAACAGAGACCAAATGACGTAAAAGTTAATAGCTATAGGTCACCGTGCGGCCTTCAACTTGGAGCAAAACCCATACTGCATAGTAAGCCATAAAAGGCCACGAAATGACAAATGTAAAACAATTCAAACGAGAAAACTAACGGTCTGAGTTATGTACAAAATAATAATAATAAACAAAAATATGATATAAAGCAACAAACGATAACCACTGAATTACAGGCTCCTGACTTTGGACAGGCACATACAGAATGTGGCGGGGTTAAACATTCGTGCTGGCGCTAAACCCTCCCCTTAACCTGGAACAGTGGTGTTACAGTACACCTTAAGAACAAACAATAGTTGAAAAGGGCTTAACTCAACAGTTGATACAAAGCAGAAAAACAGCTAACAAAAACACAGACCGGACGTAGCAGGGAATTTATACATTATTGAGCTTAACTCATGTCGTTGATTTTATCTTTTAAATTGTTTTACATTTTGTTTTCCATGGACCTTATATATGTATTGTGCTGATACATATATGCTGTGTTGCTTTTGGTACTATACGGTATGTGTCTTGCTCATTATTGATAGCAGTATGGGGACCTGTGGTTGTGTACCTCTTTGTTCTTTGGTCGTCGGTGGAAATATCGTGATGAGGTATAGTGACTACTCAGGCAAATTGTTTTCATTCTCACGTTTCGGTTTACTTGTACAAATAATCATATTATATGATAAACATAATATGCATTAGATATTATGGAATGACAATAACTGATAAGCCCTTAAAACAGTTTTGTTTATCATATATACTTATTTTTCTTGACAAATGATTGCCGTTGTGCTTTAACTGTGTGGTAGTCTAGTCATCTTTTTGTGTTGTTTCGATCTTGGGTGAATAAAAGAAGATTAATCCTGAATAAAGGAAAGATTATCAACAACCCAACGACACAAAAAAAACTGAATTACATCTAGATGTCAACATACGGTCTAAACTAAATGACAAGTGTGTATACAACACGTCATGCTCCATGTAGACATATTATGTACAAATTTATTATGAATATTGTTTAGACCACAGGCACTTACGTATATGATTGGGTTTTTTTTTTCATTGTTTGAAAAATCCTTTGTTTTACTATTTATAGTTAAAAATAACGTTTTTAAGTATGGATAGTAAATATAGATTTTTAACATAGTAGATAATTCACCCCCAAAACAAGGTAAGACAAGCTAAGTAGTGTTAAGTATGTGGACTGTATTAAAATAGAATATTCAATACTCAATGGAACAAGGGAAAAAACAATCGCATATCCCTGTATCAAGCGCCTTTGGTTTAGACTTACCAAAGATTTGGTTGTCATCAACACAAAAATATTTTCAGGATAAGAAAACATATAAGGCAAGTAAAAATAAATGTATCTCAGGATTCAATAGGGGGGCATAGGGAATATTTGGAAAGAATTCATTATAAAAATTCAGTCTTGAAGTAACAACAATACTTGCAAAACATTTTGCAAAAGATGTATCTTTCAGAATTATAGAGAGAAATGCTGGCGTTGTTAGGCTTAACTTTATAAAGCATAATCTATAATTTAAGTGTAAGACCAAATCAAAATATAAAAAGATTAATATAAATTCATAAAATGTGTTGAGAGTAGACACGAAAATGTAGGGAAAATACAGGGTCATGAAACACAACTATATTATTTCTGATTTTTTACGAAAGAAAATGTATAGATAGTTACAAAATGTTAATCTTACGGTTGAAATGGTATCATTAAATGTAATATTAAATTGAAATCATTTACTTTGACAACGCATTGTATAATTTTGTCCAAAACAATATTTCTGAAACCTTCAAGAAAGTGTATGTTTTTATACAAAACTTAATGTCTCGGTTTAATGTTGAAGTATCTAAATCTCCAAGAAGTATGACGATGAGATGTTTTTTATGTTTTAAAGTTTGGTGGAAAGCTTTCTGGAACTCCATTTGACACCATTCACTTTTGGTAAAGTTTTCAGTCAAAATTATCAGCGTGTGTGTGCTGTCGTCAATACTTCTTATGATGTTTTCAGCAATAGTAGCTCCCGGTACAAAATCTCGTTGATGAAGACATAACCTGATGCCGGGTATATTTGATTCTAGGTTGAGAACTAAGGTATCATAGATCCAATGCTCATCCATGGAACTGTAAGATATAAAAGCGTCATATATCGATTCGGCAGAAATAAAAGACTGCACCTCATACGAGTCTTTTTTCTTATTTTTACGGAAAATTCTACGTAAACATAATAGAGACGTAGAAACTAATGTTCCAAAAGAGAAAAAGAAAACTAAAACTGAATATGCAATAAATTGATGACTTGCACTAGTATTTTCCGTATCTGAATCTATGTTACAGTTATGAACACACGCGCTCTTGAGGTAGGAATAATTTTGTCCCCATGTTGTACGAAAAACTTGTTCGGCGTTAAACGTTTTGCATAAACATTTCATTCCTGAGTTATTACGTAAATTCACAATTACATTTTTGTAATACAAATATTTTAACGATTGCAAATCAGCCTCTGTTAATAATCCAATCTTGTTATTAGATAAATTCAACTCAAAATCAAGATTTTGCAAATACCTCTCTGTTGAGAGAAAATCAAGTTGAGTAATATAGTTATTCGAAAAATCAAGTTGTCTCAAGGTTCCGAATTTTGTAGACCATGTCTCTAGACGTAGCACAGTTGGGAACGATTTCAGACCATTGCTACTTAAATTAAGTGTTTTTAGTTGAGAAAATACAGATTTTGAAAATATATCATGAATGTGAGTATATGTAAAAGAATTTGCACTTTCAGAAATTTCAAAATATTTCAGTTGTTCATAAGCGCATTCCCTTTTCTGCAAACTTACGTTTTTTATTCTTTCTTTCAATTCTTCCATTTGAAGAGAAGATAGATCATGCATGTCCATAATATATTTTGTTGAGATATTACGCAGGATAAATTCCTTTAAGACGACTGAGAGCTCACATGTATGAATTAAACTATAACTATTTTTCATTGCATTTTTCCACATATCAGAGTCTTTAAACTCGAAAACACTATTTCTCATTTTCATACTTTTCAAGTTATTTTTGCTTTTCTTGACCTTTCTTGAACTTATTTCATAGAAGTTCTTAATGTAACAGCTATCAATATTAATAGAATGCATTCCTGGAATTTCAAGTGGACGTTGAAGAGCAATGGATGCACCTGCAGCACAACTCACAGTCAAATAAAGTTGTGAAATCGAAGGAAAACAGGACCTCCATTTTCTGAAATCGTTAAATGACCATTCCATATCCTCTTTGATGTTGCAAAGCACGTCAACCTGTTTCCCGTGCATTTTCCATTCACAAAGTCTGTTATACGTTAAGTTGATACTAGTATGCTCACAATTTAACACAACATTTAAATGTAAGATAAAAATAAAATATGTAGAAATCATCATCTTTCAGTCGTGACGTCATAAAGGAAAATAAGGTGTAATATTGACAACATATGATACTAATAGCTCAACACAATAGTTAATTGTAAGGTAACAATGAAATGAGTGGAAATCTGTATATCTAATCATATATCTTTCGTCCTTTTTTCATAAATGGCAAGAGGGTGTTTCCTAAGAATATTTATTCAATTTTCATAATTTGACTATCCAATGATTAATAAGAAAAGTAAAACAGGTGGGCTATATTTGATAAAAGTAAATTGTTGTTTGATTGCTAACTTGAATAATCGTAGAAATGGTTTTTTTCTTTTCTTTTTGCAGTGATTTAAAAACCCCATTTCTATACAAAAACTTTTAAACAATTAAATGATTTTTTTTTCTTTTTGCAGTGATTTAAAAACCCCATCTCTATACAAAATTTTTTAAACAATTACAAAAATCTTTACATGAGGGAAAAGAGCAGATGGTTTTCATAAATGTGACTTTAAACTATGCGCGTATGGTCTGTTTTATTTGCATCAATCACAAATCTGTCTATAATTAGTATAGTTATATCAACATTGTAAATGTTATCAGTGATATAATATACCGGATACCCTCCAACATTTTTAAAAATAGATCTTCGACGACTTAAAGATCATCGAGTGGCAAATTTTGTTAAGTCTTTTTGATCATATTTTATTAAATGACCTTAATTTGATGTCAAAAGTCTGACAATACTGAAATTTTGCACACGCACTTGTCTCTTACAAATATACATATATATCGTTAATAAACTGGCGAAGGTATGGTAGAGTATTTTCTCAGAGAAAAGTGCGTATGAAATTAAGATAAAATAAAATATAATATATAGAATGTGTCAATTATAACTATACAAGCATAAATTTAACAGTTTAGCGACGTAAACCTTTTCCGGTGGGGTGGGGTGGGGTGGGGTGGGGGTGGGGGGTGATTCGAGGGTTGGAACGCCCTTTTGTTTACGATCAATGCCTTTGAAAGGGGACATATGGTTGGAACCTCCCCTCTTCATCCTGGGTGGAACCCTCCTTTTAAAAATGGCTGGATCCGCCGCGTATTACAGATGGACACCGCGAAGGGAGATGATCTATAACACATCTTTTGACAGGTAATTAAATTTGCTATCTGTATTAGATACAGCTTGAGGGCGTTAGCCCGAATGGATGTATCTAATATACACGATGATATCATTGTCAATGCAGAATGGTAGTTATCAATAATGTAGGAGGGGGTCTTTCAGCGATTTAATCATATGTTATTGATAAGCATGATTAAATGCAGGTTATCCAATTTCATTTAACGACATCTTGGTGTAAATATATATACTATGACTACCGCCCCTTTTTGACTGAAATTTTCCTTGAAAAGAGTCAATGAAACAGTGGCGGATCCAGGGGGGGGAGTTCCGGGGGAGGGGGGGGGGGGGGGGGTTGGAACCCCCTTTTTTTTGACGATCAATGCATTTGAATGGGGACATATACTGTGGATTCATTATTATTCGTTGGATACCAATTTTCGTGGTTTTCGTGGGTACAGGTGAACCACGAATTAAATGTTCAACGAAAAACAAATTTTCTATAGGCTTGTATGCAGACTTCGGTAAAACCACGAAATTTAATTTCTACGAACATGTAAGTTTTCCTTAATCCACGAATATTGGTACCCACGAAAATAAATGAATCCACTGAAGTTGGAACCCCCCCCCCCCTCTTTATCCTGGGTTAGGAACCCCCCCCCCCCCCTTTTTTATAAATGGCTTGATCCGCCCCTGTGACAGATATAGCTAAGAAAGTTTCAATTGCAGATTTACTGAGAATCGTATAAAACCAAGATTTACCTGTAAATACAGTAGTAGAGATTTACAATAACTGTCAGACTCGGAGTTTGAGTACGAGTCATGCAGGTAAGCTATAGGGGTGATCTCAGAATAATGTGTACGCTAAATAATTTTACCGTGCTCAATCTTTGTGTGGTGATAGGACAAACCATTTATCAAATTAATTGCCTTTTGAAGGGTAGACAGTGCGATTTTTCGTTTAAGCTCGCTGTCATATACTAGTATGTTCAGAATTTAAAAACTTCCACAACACATATTTATTTCTCTAGTTATATGATAATTTTTACCGACTACATTAAAAAAAACCTTTTCAAGTTTAAAAAATGGTCCTTTCATAACTGACGAATTATTTAAAAGGGAATTGAAAGATACTATATTGTTCAGTTTTTTTAATTTATTTTTTTGTTTTGTTTTGGGGCTATTTATTTCCACTGTGTATAGTCTTGGAAAAGACCAGTCTGATAAATCGTGTGCACGACTTTCAAACTTGTGCCTACGACTTTCAAACTCATGCGCACGACTTTCAAACTCATGCGCACGACTTTCAAACTCGTGCGCTTTGTCGTATAGAGTCATCCAAACTTTGTTTGAAAGTTATGCGCACGAGTTTAAAGGTCGTCCGCACACGTTTTTAAAGTCGTGCACACGAATTTCAAAGTCCTTCGCATGATTTTACAAACTGGGGCGCACCAGATTAAATCTCCGTCAAACGAAAATATTTATATTTACATGGCACTTAAGGGGCTCCGTAGTAATGCAAATTCCTGTTGATTTTGATGAAAACACGTGAGAGCACTTACAATGCAATTTTCTATAGAATTTGTTTTTCCATGAGACATATCTCTTTTAAAAATAGTTGATCAACACTGATTATCTAAGTGTCCGAGACACTCCTGATATACACCTTTGATTTAAATTTTATAAAAATCTGACAAGAATTGTACATACATGCAAAGAAAATGTTAACTTATTTTTGGAATAGATATTAAGTTTTCATCAGCCATACACGACATACACCAGACGGCAGATAACCAGAAAGCCGGAACACAAAAGAGAGGAAGCTCAACAGACTCATTGCAGAATACCGAGTCTCCGTTGAACATGTTATTAGCGAATTGAAATGTTATAAAGTCATTGGAACTCGTTGGAGGCTTCCTCGACACACACGTAAAGCCATAGTTAAATTTTGCGGTAGTCATTGTTTTGTCAGTCGCCGATAACAACTTTTTAATTAATACTATAACGATTAAAGTACAATGTTTACAATAATTTTCTTATTTTGAGATCGCCCCCGTCGTTTAACCTGTGTTACTCTGACTCGTATTCGGACTCGGGTCGTAGTCCTACACTTATTGTAAATCTCTACTAGTAGGCATATATGACCGATAATCGTGATGGTACGTAGTGAACTGAAAACCTGCACGTTTGGAAATAATTTCGCATTGGTGATAATAGCTATTTCAATGCCTTCAATATGTCTAGATGTCAGATTTTCCGTCCGTACATTAGTCTATTATTTATGTTTAGATGTCAGATTTTCCGCCCGTACATTAGTCTATTATTTATGTGTAGATGTCAGATTTTCAGTCCATACTGTAGTCTATTATTTATGTTAAGTTGTCAGATTTTCCGCCCGTACATTAGTCTATTATTTATGTGTAGATGTCAGATTTTCAGTCCGTACTTTAGTCTATTATTCATGTTTAGATGTCAGATTTTCCGCCCGTTCATTAGTCTATTATTTATATTTAGATGTCAGATTTTCCGTCCGTACATTTGTCTATTATTTATGTTTAGATGTCAGATTTTCCGTCCGTACATTAGTCTATAATATTATTTATGTGTATATAGATGTCATATTTTCTGACCGTACAATAGTCTATTATTTATGTGTTAGATGTCACATTTTCTGTCCGTACATTAGTTTATTATATGTGTGTAGATGTCAGATTTTCCGTCCGTACATAAGTCTATTATTTATGTGAAGATGTCAGATTTTCCACCCGTACATTAGTCTATTATTTATGTGTAGATGTCAGATTTTCCGTCCGTACATTAGTCTATTATTTATGTGTAGATGTCAGATTTTCCGTCCGTACATTAGTCTTAATATTTATGTTTAGATGTCAGATTTTTCGTCCGTACATTAGTCTATTATTTATGTTTAGATGTCAGATTTTCCATCCGTACATTAGTCTATTATTCGAGTAGCGTTTGCATATCTTTATGGGTGGCTTGGCTTGTTTACGTTCTCAAAAAAAACCCGCGAATATTGAAGTGTTGACGTATATAGGTAAAAAAAAATACAAGTGCCTGTGTTTTAAATATATCAAAAATTAGAACGAAACAACGTGTCATCTAGTTGTTTTGAGAAGACAGAATAGAGAATTATTGGCAAAAGGGTACAGAAAAAAGGGCTAAAAATAAAGAATAGAGAAAAAAAAGGCTAAACAAATAAAGAATAGAGAATAATGGGGTGATGAAATATAAAGAATAGAAAATAATGGCAAAACAATAAGGAATAGAGAAAAAAATCTAAAATTTAAACAAGGGAAAGAAACGAAGGACTAGACCCTCTTTTAATATGATATAAAGATAAAAAAAAAGATAGGTGATTAGCAAACCTACTGAAATAAAATAAAATTATAACAATAATTAACAAATAACTAGGTCATTTTTTAAGGTTTTGAATTAATTACATAGTGTATTTACCTTACATACATATGCATCCACAGACAAATCGGAAATAGGGAGGTTGTAGTAGTTTGCTACTGGTGTTTGGTACACTTTTAAAATCTTTCCTCTAAGCGTACTAGGTAAATAACATATAAGTATAAGAAGTATGGTATCATTGCCAATGAAACAACCCTCCACCAGAGACCAAATAACGTAGAAGTTATCAACTATAGGTCGCCGTACGGCTTCAACAATTAGAAAAACCCATACCGCATAGCAAGCTATAAAAGACCCCGACATGACAAAAGTTAAACAGTTCAAAAGAGATGTGTGTACAAAACAATAAAAGAAAAACAAATATGGTATACAGCAAACAAACGGCTATCACTGTATTACAGGTTCTAATTTGGGACGCGGGCGCATACAGAATGTGACGGGGTTAAACATGTTTGCGGTCGCTCCAATCCTCTCTTACCTACGACAGTGGGACTTTGGTGTAACAGCACAACATAAGAACAAACTATGAAAATCAGTTGAAAAAGGCTTGACTCATCAGATCGACACAAAGCACATAAAAAAAAATTAACAAAAAGACTTAAGACACAAAATATAGCGACTATAT